GCAGGGCCGCTCCCCGAGGGCCCCAAGGCAGCCTCCTGGCGGGGCGCATCTGCCCTTGGCGCCCGCCGAGGACTCACCTCGCTGTTGAGGAAACAGTAGAGCACGGCCACCACCAGGCCCTGCAGCGGACGGCAGAGGCCGTCAGAGGCCGCCAGAGGCCGTCAGAGGCCGTCAGAGGCCGCCGCCCCCCCTCCCCCATACCTGGAAGGAGCCGGCGCAGAGCTCGAACGGGATCTGGTACTGGGCGGAGATGCCCACGGGGAACACGGCGAACACCATGTAGTGGACGCCGAAGAGCGGGATGAGCAGCAGGGTGGACTTGGCCAGCCTCCTGCAGAGGGGGTGGGCTGAGCGTCCCCCAAGGCCCCGCACCCCACGGCCGTGCTGTGTGGGCGGCCATCGCCTGCTGGCCGCTGCTCAGGAGGGACACCGGCGCCTCGGCTGGTGGAGTGCGGGTGCCGGGCCAGCCAGGCCTGGCGGACACGAGTGACCTGGGCTGTGTGCCCAGAGGGGCACGGGGAGTGAGCACAGAACCAGGCCGTGGCCAGGAAGGGCCAGTCGGTCACGAGCCAGTCGGCCAGCCGGCAGGGTGGCCGGGTGTCCAGGGCCTGCGCTGGGGCAGCACCGTCCAGCTCTGGGCGCCGCTCACCTGTACTGCGACTGGTTGCTGCCGCCGACCTCTGGGGTCGTCAGCTTCTGCAGTAAAATTCGCAGGATACTGACAAAGAGCGCAAAGTTGACCTGCGGGGGGGGGGGCAGCTGCTTGACCTGCGGGGGGACGAGCCCCCGCACGGGAGTGCCTGGCCCCCGGTGTAGGCCCACCGGCCACCGGGGCCGGGCAGCGTCCGGCTCCCCACAGTGGCCGCGGCGCCTGGTCGTTCTGAGCTGTCAGGCGGGCAGGTCCCCGCTGGCCCTCCGACCGTCCTCCCAGGCCACCAGCGGGCACCCCGCCCCGCGGGCTGTGTCTCGGCCGAGCGGTGTGGCTGGCCTTCCCGAACAGGCCGCTGCCCGCTCAGCCCCCACTCAGCCCTCACTTACGAGGATAGAAACCAGGATCGGCGTCCGGATGACCCACCAGGGGACGCTGTGCTCGCTGGTGTCCCAGCAGCTGTCGCGGGGATAAGGCCGCGTCACCCTGACCTCGTCGGGGGGGACCGGGCGCAGCCAGCCCCGTGTGGCGCTGACCCGCTTCCTCCTCCGCCCCGTCGGTGGCGGACGGGGGCCCCAGGGGGACGTCCCTGCCGGCCTCTGGCCAGCAGCAGGGCAGCCTGACCCGGGTGTCCCTCCCGCTGGCCGGGAGATGGTGCAGCCCCAGCTCCTGCCCTGCGGCGGGCCTGCTCTGGCCACACCGGCCCCGTCCACCTCGCCTCGCCCACCCCTCACAGGCCTTCCCCAAGCGCCAGCCCAGGCGGGACGGCCGCCCTGCAGTGCCCGGTGGAGGGGGAGGCCGCACTCACCCCGTGTCTTCCAGGGCCAGTCTGGCTGCCGTCCACGCGCCTATGCAGACTGCGGGGACGCCTGCGGAGAGATGCCCAGTCGCCACGCGTGGGCCGGCCCGGGCCTAGGGCGTGCAGGGGCTGAGGCCACGGGCAGCGGCCCAAGTGGCCACTGAGCTTTCGGTGCCACGGAGCCAGGCTCAGGCGGGGAGCACGGGCCGCGGACAGGGCCGA